AACTCGTAAAGCACATTTGAAATGAGCTGTACATGAAAACCACTTACAAGTGCAAACTATTCAAGTGGCTAAGGACCATGTTTCACCTTCTAGCACCTGTTTTTTGCAAAGAAAGTAGTGCTCAGAAAAACGGCTGTAAAAATAATTCCCCATGGTGGATAAGAGGGGAGTTTTTATTTTCTTGCAGGATATAAAATTCCACTTCCAGTGATATAAAACATGTCTTTGTAACATTTTTTTTTCTAGGTACACATTATATTCACTCGAAATTGACCAGACAGATAGTGACAGTCAAATTTCAGTTTACTTATTGCAGCCACCATGTGAGGTTGCTTTCTTTTTTCCAAGGGGCCCAGGCTGAGGCAAAATCAGCCTATCCAGCAGATTACAAGTCCATGCGGCTGTTTTCCCAGATATAGAATGAAACTCCAGCTCACAGTCCTCAATTTGAGAAAACACAAGACTTGCTGTTTCCCATTCATGGGACATGTCCTTAGCTGGAACATAGATGAATCTGGCCTGTTTGAATCTGGAGTCATAAACATGGCTTCTCCAGGTACATGAGTATCTCCATGTCATATGGAAGACCCTTCTTTTTTGGTTTTACCTTATACTCTGCTTTGCTGTGTAGATATGTGATATATTATTCTCCACTTGGTGTGTGTGTGTATATATATATATATATATATATATAAATTAAGAGATCAGCTGATCATGCTATGTTGGTTTAACCTTTTGTTATATTCAGGCGATCCCGGCTAAATAATTTCTTAATGCTTTATTATTTAAAAATAAATAAATGCACAATGTGAAGCGTAATAGAAGGGGGAGGAGAAAAGCAAAGTTATTGAAATTGTATTGGAGGGGGGTGGTATATGATATGTACATACTTTCATCCTGGTTCATATGAACTCAAGAGGAACTTTTTTTGTGTGTATGCATTGTGTCTTTACTTCTGATCTCTCATTCAAAAGGATTTTCTGGTCCAGAAATGTTACAAAACAAACACAAAACTTATATATACATATATTTGTGTTTGTCTTTGTATCAAAGTCTCTCTGAGAACAACATGTTTGTCATTCTTTTTTTCTTTCAGCCATTCCATCCAGATAACTAAATCCACCTTAAACTGACCTTGTGTTACATTTGATGCTGACATGAGCACACTGAAAAATAAATACATCTCCTGAGATTAATTTTATTAGAATATACATTGTATAGAGTGGGGTAACTTGTGTTGATAACTCATCATACAGAATTTAAATGTGTGTCAATTTACAAGTAGTAAAATTTAGAAATACTTTCAACAGGGTATGGGTTGAGAAAAAAAAAAAAAGAAAAGTCAACCAACATCTAAATTTGCTTCTGCATCTTTCCAGTGTTTTGTTTTATCTGCTTTCATTTGGTTTTATTTTCTATTTCAGAATCAGATGAGCAAACTGTAAATTTGTCACTGATTTATAGCAACCGTGCAGCTTGTTGTTTAAAAATGGGCAACTGTCAGGGAAGCATTAAAGATTGCACCTTCTCCTTGGATCTGGTGCCCCACGCAATTAAGCCCCTTCTTCGACGTGCAGCTGCCTATGAAACCCTGGAGAGGTTTGAATGTATTTTTTTTTTTTTCCTGCAGAGAGGGGGGGGTCACATTTCGATACCTTTACATTTATTCCTTTTCCTTTAGCACAAAACTTTTAACAACCAACAAATTCTACAATTCATAAATATTAAATTGAATCATAATTAATTTCCATTTTTGTTTTCCAACTTTATTCTTCAAAAAATAAAGTATGATTACAGTTTATTCAGTTGTATTTCACCATTTAAGGACGCATGGTGGAATAATGGATAGTGGCTTAGACTGAGGAATTAGAGAACCGAGTTCGAATTCCAGTCAAATCCATTACATTCACTTATGTGCTAATACCCTTGGGAAAGGTACGAATCCTCTTCTTCTCCTCCCAGCTATGGGTAAATAGCAGGACAGACCGGGTTCTATAAAAGGAAAAAATCTGCCTCGTCAGTCATGTATTGAAAGGTAAATGATCGCCTAAGCGTGTATCACGCATGGCACATAACTGACTGACATTTCACGAATTATTTTCAATGACTTGTCACCAACTCTTCGATAACTTTTGAGTAAAATTCTTCAGGTTTTGATGTGAAAAAGTTTTCAGAAACCTCTTTCTTCAGAAATGGATGAAATTATTTTAGAAATTTTTTTTTTTTTTTTGTAGAAATATTTTTTTTCTGTTACCACCCCCCCCAACCCCTGCCTGCTTAATTAATGAAATTTCGAGAAATTAAATTTTTGTGCTCTTCATATTTATATGAGTTAAAAACAGTTCTCCTTGTAGAATGTAAATAATCAATTTTTCTTCTCTAAGATTTTCAATCTCTAAGACAGTAAATATCAATTTCAATTTTTAAAAAACGTATCTACTCAAACTCATGTAGCCATTAAATATGACATTTATAGTGATAAAAAATAATATTGGATAAAAAGATATCTTAAAAACTACTGCTATATATTCATATTTTTCAATGCTGCATTTTTTGGTCATGCATAATACTTGATAATATCAGTTTTGATTCTATCATGTTCCAGTAGAAATAATAAAATCCTGCTTTGTTTGGTTTAGACTAAATTCTTTAATAAAAATATAGCAGTGTTTATTTATGGGTATACTGTCTCACAAAAGATTAGATTGGATTATATTGTTCTCATTCCACTGTCCATGTCTGCAGATATCTCCTCTAATTTAGTACTGCTTGGTTATTGCTTGCCCTCTTTCCACCGAGTCTAAATCTGTACTACCCAGCCCAGAAACTGAACTCACCAAATTCATGAACCAATGCTTTAATCCACTAGGCTATCTACCTCTGTAGACGAAATGAAGGGATCTGTTTGAAATTCCCTGAAGGTTTCCCAGATCGGCAAGCACCTGATGAAAGCTGGAGAGAATAGCAGCCGAAACCTTGTGATGATAAAAAAATGATGAGGATAATAGTCTGAGCATAAATAATGGAAATAATGATAACCCAGAAATTCAAATTGAGAATATTTTTTGTCTTGCATTTTCTTAGTCCAGCAATGCATAAATTGGATGGTGGTTCAAGATAATACCAAACATTAAAGATATAGTGATTTCCTAAGCGTAGCTTAGATGTGGCAAAAGGACGAACGTATGGAGCACCCAGTGAGAATCAAACTCATTACTTGGTCATAATTGAACATTGATAGTATATTGAATTATTGAAAGTGGAATGATGGCATTTTTTATTAAAATTATTTTAAAAACTAAAAGAAAATACCTTTAAGTTAAATAGTTAAAAAAAAAAAAAAAATATCTCAGTGTCAATTGGTTAACCTTTATCAATCTCTATATGACTTCATTTGGTGAAGGTGACTGATCCCTGAATTTGAATTTGTTTGAATTTCATAGTTGTATTGTCATATCCTATGGCAACAGAAAACACCTTTGAATGAAATTAACAATAAGGTTACTGCAATTGAGAGGCCTGGAAAAAGAATACATGGAAAGAGAAGAAATATTAATAATGCAGAGTGCTAAAGTTAACTTGCTTTATCGCAAATGCATCACTACAAGCCTATCACTTCTTTATCGCTATTTCCACAGCAAATGTTCAGATGAATTCCATTCTTTAGTTCCACCAGTTCAGGCCTTTACAGATGAGAAGTTCCACTCAGATACCTTTTTCCTAAGAGTTGTTGCTTTGCGGAACATGCTCTTCTGTGAGTACTTCCCTGAACAGTACAATTAACCTCTTCATCTTAGGCTCAATTGCTATCTATCTTCTTTATCCTGATAATCATCACTTCCTTCTGCCTCCACTTTATATCGCACACCTCATTCGTTAAGCCTCTACCATGAGTGGCTCTCTAACCTTGTATTAGATGAACTTTAGCATATTTTTTAAATGTGTTTTGTCCAATAATCAAATTATATTGAAACTATATTTTTGTCTTTTCAGTTAAGAAACTCCCTCGATGACAAATGTTTTTTTGCTTTGCTTTTTGCAGATATGGACTTGCTTATATTGATTATAAACATGTGTTGGCCATTGATTCAAGTGTAGAAGTAGCCCAACAGGGTTCATCCAGGTGCAGCCAGACCCTGATCCAATTGCAGGGTTACTCTTGGAGAGAAAAACTTCCTCCTCTGGTTACTGTCCAAGCATCTGTCATCCCTGTCATCCAAAAACCTCCTGGAGCAGAAACAACAACCGCACATCATCCAGACAGTGAGAAACCTAAATTGAACACAAAATCTGGAGAGGGTGAGATTAAAACTTCAAAAAGTGCAAAAAAATCTCAAAAGAAATTAGAGAAGCAAAATTCTGCTGCCGAAAAACAGGGTTCTACACCTGAAAAGAAGGCACCAAAGACTTTGACGAAGGAAGAAGAATTTGATACGATGAAATCAAAAGGAAATCAGCATGTAAAAAATGTAAATGTGTTATGTTTATAAAATTTTAATTTCATTTTATGCATATTTTTGAAATTTTGGTTACCCAATGAGGATCAAACTCTCTAGGGTAGCAATGTTTAATGAGACTACATTGCTCACTGTTGCTCTACAGTGAATTCTTCTTCTTTTATGTACTTTCCTATCATTTGTAGTTATAAGCCATGTTTGTTCTCCTTACTATGTCTTCCAGTTTCTGCTCTGCCATCCATTTACACAAATTTATTAGCTATTTAACTTGTTGTTTTCTGCTGCTTCTGTTGCCTTCAGTATATCTTGTGAGTTTCAAATTTTTGAAGCCTTCTTTCCTCATTAAGTATCCCAGAAATTTTAACTCTTTCTAATTCTGAGTATCCATTTAGTTTCTATTTTCCTTAAAACTTCCTTTTTGCTCATATGTTACATGCTTGGTATTCTCAGCATTCTAGAATCATATTTCTGTTGCCTTAAGTCTCCTCTTTGTCTTGGGAATCTTGGATGTGCAGCTGGTGTAATAGATAATGACTCCGATTAATTGGAGAGCTGAGTTTCAATTCCCGTTGAATTTGTTATATTCACTTATGCACAAATACCCTTGGGAAAAGTATGAATGAGCCTCTTGTCCCCTATCTATGGGTTAATCAGTAGGACTTGTATCTGTAAATCATTATTATCAGTTGCAGTCTTGGGAGTTAGGTGGCTAGATGTAAGGGATGATGTGGTCACAGAAATTGACTGACAGGCATGATTGGATTCTCCTGCTTATGTAGCATGGTGCAGAGTCCTGTTGCCAGACATAGGGTCTTTCAGCAGCCACCCTCTTGACCCAGGGCAGCACCCCTTCCTCAAGGTACTTGATGTAGGCCTCAGAGTTGAATCTAAGGCCCTCACCAACAAATTTGGGAGTTCTTATCAGAACAATCAGAGTGAGTTTTCCAAGCTGCTGTACTTTCAAAATCCCCATTAGACTCCTGCAGCTCTTTCCAAATCCCCTTCACTGTCCTCACTTAGATTAACACCCGCATACTCTGAACTGTTCTTATTGGAGCTTCTGGTGCAAATGCGGCAGGGAGCATACCCTTTCCAAATTTCTGGTGGAGTGAATTGCATCCTGGTGCTCTTTTTCTTACAGACAGTGCTCAACTGACTCTACTTTACTGTGGAGCATAGTAGGGTTTTGACAAAATCAAAAACAACACTCATGCACGAAATTAAAAATATAAAATGGTGACAATTTACCCATCGCACCCTTTATTTACTCTATTTAAATTGTTTGGACTGCTGTCCTCTTCTTTATTGCCATATTCACGATATTCTGGCCTTCTTCACATGATATATGTTGGAATTTCAAACTGAACCTTTTTTAGTCCACTGGGGGTAGAGTGTTCTAGTTCCACATATGGATATCTCAGTTTCAATTAATTCCCCTTGGTAGCTCAACTCTACAAAATTTTGTTCTCTCTGCTGTAGATTAAGTAAACTATTCAGTTTATGACCCAGATTGATAGATGCCTGAACAGCCAGAATACTGTGATAATAACAAGAAAGATGAGGATATTAGTCTGACTGTAAATAATATAAATAACGATCTCATCTCAGAAATTCAAACAAAAATATAAAAGCCTCTCCGAAGTTTTTTTTATTTATTTTTTTTTTGTGAAAATCCAAGGCTTTGTCAATCACAATCTGGGACAGTCATTGATTTAAATTGTTTTTGTTTGGCTACAGGAGGAATATCAGAAAGCCATCGAATGTTATACCAAATGTGTACAGTTGTTTCCAGACAAAGTTGTTTCCTACACTAATCGGGCTTTGTGTTATCTGAAATTAAATCAAGTAAGTTGTTTTTATTAAGCAAGCATCTGTACAAACTGTATTCTGCATCGGAATCTTTTTCTCTCCCTTTTTTCTCTTTTCATCTCTCTCTCTCTCTCCCTCTTTTTATCTCTCACTTTTTCGCCTCACGCTCTCTTTCTCTTTTTTGCCTGTCGCTCTCTTTCTCTTTTTTCATCTCTCTCTCTCTTTCTCTTTTTTCATCTCTCTCTCTCTTTCTCTTTTTTCATCTCTCTCTCTCTCTCTCTCTTTTTTCATCTCTCTCTCTCTCTTTTTTCATCTCTCTCTCTCTCTCTCTTTTTCATCTCTCTCTCTCTTTTTTCATCTCTCTCTCTCTTTTTTCATCTCTCTCTCTCTCTCTCTTTTTTCATCTCTCTCTCTCTTTCTCTTTTTCTCTCTCTCTCTCTTTCTTCATCTCTCTCTCTCTTTCTCTTTTTCATCTCTCTCTCTCTTTCTCTTTTTTCATCTCTCTCTCTCTTTCTCTTTTTTCATCTCTCTCTCTCTTTCTCTTTTTTCATCTCTCTCTCTCTTTCTCTCTCTCTCGCTCTCTCTTTTCATCTCTCTCTCTCTCTCTCTCTCTCTCTTTCTTCTCTCTCTCTTTCATCTCTCTCTCTCTCTTTTCATCTCTCTCTCTCTCTTTTCATCTCTCTCTCTCTTTTCATCTCTCTTTTCTGTCTCTCTTCCTTTTCCATCTCTCTCTCTCTTTTTCTCTCTTTTATCACTTTTATCTCTCTGTCTTCTCTTTTTTCTTACATTTTCTCTCATTCTCCTTTCCTATAACATTTAAAGATATGATGAGCTAAAATTGGTGTAATATATTTATCATATATATATATATATATATATATATATATATATATATATATATATATATATATATATATATATTAAGTGAAAATCATATTAACATAATCTTGGTTTGATAACAATTTGATTTGCATAATAAAACCAATCAATGTAGAAATTTATTATCTGAACAATGTTAATCACATTGTCAAATCTGTCAGAAATGTTCATCTTTAGATTTTATATAAAATATTTAAAGGGGTGTTGAAAATCTCACAACCCAGTCCCCTTTCTAAAATATGACCAAATGACTGACATTCAAAGTGAGTTGAGTAAATTCATTTGTTCACTGGTAAATGAAATTACCTAAAGATAGACCATCAGTGGATAAATTAAGATTATGAATGATATTACAGTTTATTTATACAACAGTAAATGATGTCAAAATGAATCATAAACTTCTTGGCATAATTTTTATTGGTAAAATAAACACTAAAAATAAAACATAAAAAAAACCCCCACTTTTTTACTTTTCAGAATTCCAGATAAAAGATTGTGTAGCCATACAAATCTTTAAACATGACATCTATCTGGATTTATGTAACACATCTTTATTTTTCAGGCTAACAAAGCTGAAAGTGACTGTGATAAAAGTTTGAAAAAAGAACCAGGTAATATTAAGGCAATGTTCCGAAGAGCACAAGCAAAAAAGGTTAGTGACAATAATTTTCCTTCCTTCCGTTTTTGATAAGTTTAATTTTTTTTTTTTTATTAGTGTTTCTAATATGCATTGTGAAATAATAAAGACCATATCCAGTTGGATCAGCAAACTTTGTAGCCATTGAAACATTGGGAACTGAATTAGATAATCTAATGTTATCTTTGAACTTTGCATCGTGCATATGTTCCAGGTTGATTATCCAGCAAATATCGATGGAAATCCAGGTGATACTGGAACAAGACTTTAAACAACAGTTATTAAATTTCTTGTTGGTGGGGGCTTCTTGTAAAAAGTTAAATGAAACCTAAAATTAAGAGACAATATCTATTCCTTCACAACTGTCTTGGTGATGACTTATGGTCAAATCACACTAAAAGCCCGGTTTGTGTTCATTTACCTAAGTTAAGCTGTGTTGAGCCTGGTCAGTACTTAGATTAGAGACAAATTGAGAATATTGGGTGCTGTAAGCAAATTCCTACAATCAGAAATGTCTAAATGACACACAAAGGGTTTATAAGCCATAAAAAAATGTCTTGGTGATGTCCACTTTATGTTGCCATCTAATTTCATGTTTTGTGCTCAACACTGACAGATATATTCCTCAGGAATTAATGGGTTTTATTTTTAATCCAACATTATTTTTTGTTACTCCAAACATTATTTTAGTGAATACCCATATTTGAGTATATACCCTATATTTTAAGCAGTGGGAAATATGTCTACTGGTCTTTGCATTGAAAAGTCTTACTAATGAAAATGCACCTTCTTGTAGTGTTCAAACCTGCATTTTCCTGTGTAGGGAAAACCAGTGGGAGACAGATTCAAACTTTGGTAGAGAGCACATTTTCTTTATTAAGTCTCTTGAATGCACAGACCAGCAGATGTAATTACCAGTGTTTAAAAAAACAGGATGTCTACTCAGACAGGGAAATCATCTAAAATAATGTTTGGAATTATATACTAGGGTCAACACCAAGCCGTGGCAGTTTGTTTCATGCTTGAATGCAATCTTCAGGCAATGATTGTATTTAAGCCTGTAACAGACTATCACCATTTGGTGTTGATCTCAGTGTCCATTTTTAAATTTACGTATGCTCTCTCTGTGATATTGAATACCATGACTGATAAATATACCATACCATAAAACTATTTTTATCGTGTGTGTGTGTACATGTGTCTGCTCAGGTGTTGCAGATGCCTGTTCATTCAACACCCACTGAGCCCACCTGTGGTTTATACTGAAACTATACTAAGCAGACCTTAGTTTCAGGAAGTGAGGGCATAATTTGGTTTCAGCAGGTTGGCCTTGTTCAATCACAATGACTTGTAATTTCATGCAAACACAATCTTTGATTGCTTCCAGACATTTCTATCTACTCAATTTCATTCACAAGGCTTGGGTCAACTCAGGGTATGGTTTTTAGGCATTTTCAAATGTGCCACATAGTGGGATCATTTATCCAGGCCGATACCATGAAGCAGTGAGAACAACTATGGTGAGAGTTGAATCTCTCTCATGGGCGGAAAGCAAACGTTCTGTTTGGTCATGCGCATATATGCATATGTAACTTTTAAAAATAATGATTAGAGATTCTATCATTTTTTTTAAATTCCTCCCTTTATCTTTATATTCTTGCCTTTGTTATCTCCCTTTATCTCATAATTCCTGTCTTTGTTATCTCCCTTTGTACAGCTAAAGCAGCATTATAGAGAAAGCATTAGTGATTTGAAAAATCTTTTAACAATGGACCCCAAAAATTCTGCAGCCAAAAAAGAACTGGAAGTTGTGAAAAATTTCTGGCGTCAGGTAAGATCAATTTTTCTTTTTTCATTTCTTTAATCTTCCAATTCTGAATTTAATCCTTTCATCATTTTTTTGTTATGATAATTTCATTTTCTCTTTTCTAGAAAAGAATCAGCTCCAAATATTTATTTATTTATTTTTTTTTGATTTAATTAAAACAATCTCCCTTCAGAATGGAGGCAGTCATGATTTTCTACAATTTCCTTTTCTTTAATATCTGTTAATTGTCAATTGCTGTGACTGTGAGAAAGGCTGTATAGTTGCTTTCTCCACAATTTTGAAATCAGAGCTGTCCTTCTCCTAGACTGGATGCCCTCACAACAGTCTTTCTCTACCATCTTACCCATAATATGGAGTAGCAAGAGATTCGTGCCTTTCCCAAAATGAACACAACAGCTTTGGCTGAAGTTTGAAGTTGGCCTCCTAATTCCATTTTTGCACTCATAACCATTACACCACCTGCACATTCAGTTGTAAATAAAGTTGACTTTGTCGGAAAAAGTTTTGATAAATTCAACCAAGGTTTGTCTAATTTTTCCAAATTTTAGTAAATTGTTGCATATCCAAATCAAAATTGTAGATAAAATTTTTTTGTTCTAGAACTTTTGACCACCTTGGTCATTACAAGAACTAAATGTTTTCAGTATTGTAGACAAGATTTTGTTGGCTACATCCTGCCCTTTTTTTTAATGCTGCAATGCAAATGTAATTTAAATCTGTATATATCATGTAAGTTTCATAATGTGTAAAATTGTTTCACAAAAGAAATCGTTCATCACAGGAGATGGTATTTTTAAATGTTTATCAGATATTTAATATATACATAAAACAGTTATTATCAGATATTTAATATATACATAAAACAGTTTTATACATGTCATTACTTATACAATACATGTATGTTTGAATTGTAACATTCCAAAAAGATGTCGAGCTGTAACCAACAAAACCTTGTCTACAGTACTGACAACACTTACTTCTTGATAATGAAGACGGTTAAAAGTTCTAGAACAAAAATATAACCTTTGGAGAGTTTATCCACAATTTTGATTTAGGAGTACAACAACTTATTTGAAAATAGGAAAAATACAATAAAAAAAAATTAAACAGACCTTGTCAGACAAATTTAACAAAACATGTTTAAATGTATCCATCTGTAAATATAGTTTATTGTAATGATTTATTTAGTTTGCAATATAATCAATATAGTAAATGTTTGCTAAAACAAAAAAGAAACCTGACTTTTAAGAGTTGAAACATCATCTTTATTGATGACTTTCTCTTTTTTTCTTCCTCTGTAACAGGAATTGAACGCAATGAAAGCCAGCATGGGAGAAGGCAAATCTAAAAAAGACAGTAATAAATGTAACCAAGAAAGCAACACTGTCCCACCAGCACCTTCAGGAGGTGCAAATGGAAGTGGCAAGAAAGGATCAAAACAGAGAACCCGGGTTTGTGTGCATGACGTTGATGAAGATAACAACAGTAGCAGTAGTAGCAGCAGCAGTAGCCAAAGTAAATCTCCCTCAGTACCAGTGACAAAATCCCATGGCAAGCACCATAAAAACTCGGCTCCAAAAAAAGCAGAAGGTGATTTTATTTTCTAACAATTTATCATAAAGCATTATTTTTTGCCAATGTTTATAATTTCTTTCTAAATATGATTTTAAAAGCCATTCATAGTAAGTAACATTACTTTTGTAACATCTGATAAGAATACAAGGCTAAATTTTTCATATGTAAAATAATTGTTTATTTACTTCTAGACAGTCACATTAACATTGGCTGGGAAGAATATATGGTTTTGGGGGACTTTCTTTGAATGTTTGATCTTATCACAAGAAAATTATGGACTTTACCTTTCCCCTTATGAGTCAGTTGTTTATATAAACTCCTGTCATCTGGATGTCTTGTATGTGTATATCCTAAGTTCAGTGTGATTGACTTACTGTTTCATATCAGCACAGTCACCAATATACTTTGAGGCTCTATTCTGCACTTGGTGGCTATGAAGTCACCTAAGCCAACTCTCTGAGGCAAAAAGCTCTTTCGTTATTCTGATGTGACACCAACTCCAGAATTTACTTTGGTGAACTCTGTATATATTGGGGTCACCACATATCAACTCCGCTTAGATCAAAAGTTCCTGATTGCAAATGAAATGATTTTCCTGTAATGGTTGACAAACTATTTTGCTGATCAGTCATCACAAAAAATATCTTGACATAAGTGCTTAAACTATTTCAAGCCATTCATAAGTTCATTGCTTAGCAGTTGCATCAGAAACATGTACCAGACTTATCTAAATTAACTGCCCCTCCCCCCAACACACACACCTTTTTTTTCATCTTTTCAGTGACTTAGTCACTTCCTTGTAAACATTTTTGTCTTCATTCTCATTTATTCTTGAATTATTTTCTGTTTGTTTTTCTGCAGGTAATACTCAGCAAAATCAAGCCCCAAGCAATAACAAAAAAGGATGCAAGTCTGGAGGCCGTACAGCACCTCCACCTCCTGTTGCAGCCCCACACATTGACAAGGCCACACCCTATGAATTCTTGAAGGCTTGGAATTCTCTCAAGACTGTCCGCAACACAAAGCCTTATGCAGACTTGCTGGCCCAGGTCCCACCTGAAGATTTGCCAAAAAGTAAGTCTCATTGACAACACCCTGATGAAATTTGAATTTTACCTTATGATGGGTTTCTGTGGTCAGGTGCTGTTCCAGTAATACAGATTCTCAAAGATTGGAGATGCAAATTCAAATATTGGCAAGCCAACAGATCTGACAATAATAATAATAATTTAATAATGTATGTCTGATCCATTAATTATTGGCATTTTGTTGTATCCTTAAAGAGGTTACAGACAAAGGTGGTACTTGAGTGAAAGGAACAGTAACATGGGCATAGATGAAAGAAAAAAGGTTTATTGTAAAAGAGAATACACTACTGAAAGACAGGAAATTGGTTAGCAAGCTAGTAATTCCCAAAGCAAGGTTATTTACCTCACTTCCCCATGAGGCAGGATGTGGCACAAGGCTGTTATTAATTCGGGATTAGAACTGAGCCCATGGGCTTGGGAAAAAATTCCCCCTGTAGACCTCATATACACAGGGTCGGGTAGCTGTCTACCTCCCCGAGACAAGACTCTGCTCTGGATTCCTCTCTGCCCAAAGGCAGAGAGTTCGACTAGCTTAGCTGGAAGTGAATCTCCAACTAATTGATAAAGCAAGTCCACTAGGTATATCCTGTGCACACTATATATATCTACTGATATAATCAGTCTATGCGATAGGGAATGTGGGACATTCCATTACAACACATTTCATGTCTTTAATGCACTACAATTATTAGAAACTTAAACAAATATTTCCCCTATTGAAAGCTTTTGAGAAATGTCCCAGCAAGCTTATCAGAATCAACATGTAACATAGGCTTCCGAAAGTGAATGATGCTTAGCCTTTCTAAGCAACTGTGTTGCTCAATCTTCGTGTTGGAATAAGGATGTAATAAACTTTCCAACTGCTGTAATATAGCTTCTCTGTATGTGTTCTATAAATATTTTCATGGGCACCTCTAGGTGATGTAATGGTTAGCAAGCTTTTCTCGCTAAAACAATTACAACTGATTAGTGAGTTTCATTCTCACTGGGTGACCCCCTAATTTCAGCTTTGTGCGACATCTAAGCTATGCTTGGAAAATCACTATAAATATTTTCATGTTAATTGTTCTGATGAGCTTTGCTCTTTGATACCTCTACTTTATGAAATTAAGTTGCAGTACTAGATTGGCAGCTAGGTCTCATGATTTTATAGTTAAAATTGCTGGATGTAACCATAAATTCTATGCTAACAGTTTCTTCTATTGCACTTCTTGCTTGTGGAACTCTCTTCTGGCTTCTTGATTTCCAGTCAAGTTTTATCTTCAGAAATTGAAATGCAATGTTATCTTCCTTCTTAGTTCCTCTTCATTTATTGTTCTCTCTCCTTAATTATGTTTTCCTTTTTCTCAAATTCTTTCAAATTCAGTAATCTTTTGTGGCTTGGTGTGAATTGATAAAAAAAAAAAAAACTAATGTTTTCTCACAATGTAATGACTGAAATATTGTTATAAAAAGTGACAAGAAAATTAAAGAAAACTAGTCAAAAACAAATAATGAAAATCCGTCATCAAAGAAATTCAGACAGGTAAATTTGTAAAACTTTGATTTACATAATTTTAAAATTTATGTAGAATTTTATGATCAACTTATGCAGAACTTCTTGACACATCACGACAGCTATATAGGGAGATGTGATTAAATATACTTTAATGTTTAAAAAAAATTTAGGTAATAATAGCACAAATTGTTTAGGTAACCTAGCACAAATAACTATATTGTGGAAAAAGGAATTTTTCGACAATATACACATTTTTTACATATTTATGGTTATTTTTTAACTTTTATCAAAAACAACATTCCCATACATGTAATTATGGATAGTTTTATACATTAATTACTATTTTTTTAATTAATAACTATTTGTGCTCAGTTGTTGACATTAATAGCTATCTACTGATGTGTAAAAATTTTGGAATAATGCAATAATAAAAATTTTAATTTCATGTCTCTGATAGATGTCGTGATCTGCAAATTAATCCAGACTTGTTTAAATTATGAACATATCGATATATGGATAGAATTTTTGACAAGTGTTTGCTTATTTATCTTTTCTACATGAGCAGGATAGATTTTATTCACATATAATTTCTTTTTAGTGATCAGCAACAAACTGGATGCTGCCATGTTGAACCTGATTACTCGTTGTGTCTCTGAACACTATGCAGACAGAGGTAAGGCTCAACAGCAAAGTAAAAGATTCTGTTGGCTGTTGTCATTACTAATTTTAATATGTGATCCTTTGATGTTATCTGTTTTCTGCTCTGAAGCTGTTGCATGTCAGAAAAAGAAAAAAAAAAATTTTTTTACTGTCCGGAGGTTAGAGATCAATATTTCAAAGAATTCACTAAAATCTGACTGAATCTGACTCAATGAAAGGAGACATTTTGATTTTTGTCTGTGAATTTCATTGTGTACATGAAGGAACATGTGAGTAATTGTATGACGAAATGGAAAACTCTGGCATTTACATTTTTGTTTCTTGAAAGGACTTCTTCAGATTAATATAGGTTTTATCGATGGAGTTAAATATGTAAGAGAAGGAAGAAAGCAAATGTCTGTTACAGATCTAGGAAAAATAAAGATACAGAAGCATTTAGCTTTAAATTAAATTTTTAATTGTTTGTGAGCGATGTATCTAAATGCATAATGTAGCTGACCTCCTCCAGTTTTCTATCATTTTTTGTTTTTAAATCTCCTACATTGTAATAGCAATTGATTTGTTAGGAAGGAGATATGTTGGATGATCCTGGATGCAAATTTACCATAAAAGACTCTAAAAATTAGCTCAATTACCCTTTTAATTAAATTAATTAAAACTATTTTCTTCAAGTCAAAATTATGCTCAGACTTATCACAATGAACGATTAATGAACCAAGTGTATTGCTTTTGTAAAAGATCCCTTTTGTATTCATAAAATCTTTATTTAAAGATGTTTTACCAATGTATTTCTAGGGACATTTTTTGCAGGCTATTCTTCTTTATGAAGAGGTGTTGACCCCAAATCTGATATTTAGGGAGTCGATCAGGCTGAAGATTTTTCAGCATTTTCTTTTCTGCTCTGCTGCACTTATTTTATTCTTTAAATGTTTATTTTTTTTTATTATTATTCATTTAAATGCTACTAACAATGACCTCTGCTTAATGTTAAATTACTTCTAATTTACAGAAATTATATTTATTTGCAAATGGTAATTATTACTAAATAATTATTATTAAAGTATGATCAATGGTGTACCACTATGGCTGATGGAGAGAATGCAGATAGGTCAATGATTCTTCTATGTTTAACCTCTGATGAAAAAATTTAGAAAAACAACCCTGTATTTAATATTTAGTAGATCTGGAGTCATCTGCCTGGAACAGACTTTTTTTTATTAAAAGTTATGTGGAAACTGATATCACAATTGGACTTGAAATTGTCTTTATATTCCAAATTAAAACATTTTAACAGAATTACATAATGATGAACCATTTTTTGTTGTTGCAGAATCAAGCAAATAGAAATTTGATTATTTTAATATAGATTCTATTTGACTTATTTAACCAATTGTATCACAAGATAAACAGTGTGGAGCACCCAGTGTGACTCAAACTTACAACAGTAAGTCATCAGCCAGAGTGGCAAGAGGCTGAACCTGAAATACTTCGATAGGTAAGAACTTGATTATTTCTTTTTTAATCAAAGGCATTCCTAATGTCCAGAATTGTTTTCTATTTTAGGAACTGCTGAGTTGGGTTTGCAAATTCTGTCCAATGTTACTAAAGTCGAACGCTTCCAGACCATTGCAATGTTCATGTCTTCAAAAGAAAAATCAGGTAAGACTTGAAAGATATTTCTTTTCTCACCAACTGCAATTTATAAATTCTTCCAAATCACAATGAAGTCTTAGAGGCGATATTTATTGTGGCTGAACAGAATTTTTTTTTTTCATTCATTTTAGATCAGTCAATAGAAAAGAGATATTGCTTAGTGTTTCTCTTTGTCTCCACTTTGAGTTTTTAAGGAGTTCAAGCGCCATCTTAATGGATTGTAACTTGGCTGTAAATACGGAAGCTTGATTTGGTAGTCTATTCTGTTTGTGAGGAGATCTGCCTGGATGCTGCTCTCATTTTATTTGAGATTTTACCATCATTATATACAGCTTGATATTTGTGTTTTAATTCAGCAGACTTGCTTCTATTTATGGTGATTTTTGCATTGAGTTAACATTATATCTATACAAAATTTCCGAAGTCACTTCTATGGTTCCTGTTAAGAGGAACTATGATGTTGGGGCATTTGTTTATTTGGGTGAGTGCTTCATTGATTCGGTGACCAAAAGACATGATGTTTGATGGCATCTTGCTGTTGTAAAAGCATGTGTATTGCAGTTTGAAAGTTCTTTCATGTGTTGAATTATTTGGGTTATTTTCAAGTTTTAATGAGTATTTTAGGTCTGTTTTGGACCTGAGAAGCCAATGAACCTCCATGATACTGATGTGAAGCTATACATGGGTGAAATCTGGTAGGCTCCCTATCTGTGTCCCACTCTCTGGTTTAGGATTTGTAGTCATCATATATGTAAGTTTTACACATGGAGCTGTAGATCTTTATGCGTGATTTGTTATCTAATATGATTCCTAAGAATTTAGTCTCCTGAACTATTAGTATTGTTTCCATTGATCTTTAATTGGTGCGTCTAACTAATAGATTCACTTTCTGCAGATATGTATGCATATTGTTTTGGTTTCTGAGAATTTAAAACAATTATCGTTTATCCATTTTTCTATTCTGTTGAGGCCATTTTTCATTTGCCTTTCCACTGTGTGTTGGGAGATGAACAGGTGATTGAGAAATCTTCTACGTTTAAGTATTTCAAATCCTGTGTTAACTGTTTAGTGATGTTGTTCATGAAAATGAACGGGGTTACAGAATGTAGACTGAGGTCCACCTGTGTCCTTGTTCAGACGTTATGTTGCCATACTGTAGTTTAAATGTTCTATGAGAGAGAGGAAGTTCTTCATCAATATGGCCATATTTCCTTTACTTCTGATGTTGTATTAACTCTTTTAATATATCATACCTCTAAGTAGTGCTGTAGCTAAAGATCAAAGAAAACTATCACCATGTGGTGGTTTTGGGCAATGCCATTACATATGAAGAATTTCAAGCAGATTATTTCATCAGAAGTGTTACGGTTATGTCAGAATCTGCTTTTGAATATGGAAAGGATTTTTTTTTCTTAGGTACCACATTAATCAAGTATTAATAATTGTTTCTATAATTTTACATACACAATTTGTTAGGGCAATAGGTCTATAATTGGTAGCATTGGTCTTTGTCAGGTTTACGGATAGGTAGATATATTCTAGCCATGATTTCAGGAATTTTCCTGTGTGACATATTGTAGACTTTGAAGAATATAAAAAAAAAGAAAGACATGATTCCAGATGTTTTATGAATTGGTAATAGACATCATCTGCGTCTGTTGTTGTCTTTGATTTTTCTCTGTCTTTTGTTAAGCTCTGGTATATTGAATAGTTTCTTGTATTCCTGTGTTGTTTGAATTGAAGGTTTATTTTCTTTGCAGTATTTTTACATTTCTGAAATGTTGATGTATAGTTGTTAATAGAGGTTTTGCTAAATTTGGTAGCCACTAGATTACCTATGTCTTTTCCAGTGCATTTTTCTATATTGGCTTTGCTTAAGTAAGCTATTGTCATTTGTACTATTTTACCTGTTATTTTTTTTTTTAATTGAAGTTTGGTTATTTAGTTGGGATTTGTTTAGCTTGCCAAGTTTTTTAGTTTTATTTTATTACATATCCTGCTCTAGCTTGGGTTTGTAAGTTGGTTGGCAGTGAATTTTTTTTTTTTTTTTTTTTTAAGCACCTTTTTCAGGTTTTTAACTTTTTGCCATGCCTCTCTAAACCAACTATGTTTAAAATTAAAGAATGTTCACAGCTAAAAAATAAAACATAATCACAGAAGATTCCAGGAAGGCAACACCAAATTCTACTAGCCCAAGGGCCTCTTAAGGAAATTAGAATTCATACTAAGTTGTTCTCTCCTTGAGATTTTATGACAGCCTTAATTCTGTCAGGTATGGATTTCACAAATTTAAAGAAATATTCTTTATCAAAGTGGTTCCAACTTGTACAAAGAGATGTTGGAATCAGTGTTAAATGACATCTCTCAGTTTCGCATCTATTCCAATATGGCTGTCTCCTTTATGGTCACCTAGTGGCTATATACTGGAACTATTGTCTCAAAATGGCTGCCACAAGCCTCAAACACATTCTATATTAATACAATGATTATTTCAAAGACAAGTTGACAAATAATCTGAGATGGTTTTCTATCAATGATATTCTTAGACTGCAGCAATGAGAGAAGTACATGTTATCATCCACTTTTTTTCCATTCAAGCTAATGAAAGAAAGAAATTCCATCTTGATATTAAGCCACTTGCAAGAGTTGTTTTTTTTTTTTTATCTTTTTCTTTCCAGCCAAAATTTTATTGAAAATAAATTTACTGAAAAATATATACACTAAATATCTCATGAACCATCCCAGGTTAATCATTACTTTTACTGCCTCAAGTGCTGAATAATATCTTCCTATCAGTTTAAAATGATATCTCTTTTCCTGCCGCCATCTATCTAAAGTGAAAATTTCACTAAAATCAAGAAAATATGCACTTTAACAGTAATTATAATATAGTCATTTTCCAAACATAGCTTAGATGTGGCATAAGGTCGAAAGGGCACCCAGTGCGGATGGAACTCTATTCAGTCAATTTGATCTAGCGAGACAAGCTTGCTAACCATATCGAAGTGCCCAAACAGTAATTATATAAGATGTCGGTTGAAATTGATGCCAAGACAAGGGGATAGATGGTTGAAACAAGACTAAACAGATAAGTAGAGGTTACCAGGAATACTATAATTACCAAGATTTTTTTTCTTGCCTTTCAGATTTGTTGTCATTGTTAGAAACTTTGGCTGCAAACCAAACTTTGTATGGAGAAGAAGAGATGCAGAAATTAAAACATGAATATGGATTGAAATAGAATTTGACAAAGAAGTAAAATCTTTAATTCCACCTTGGTCTATCTCTCCAGTTTGGATATTTGATGTTAACACCTTTTTTTTCTTTCTTTCTTTTTTTTTTCCTCTCTGTTCTTACACTCCCTCCTCTTCATTTGGTCTGGAAAACAGACATTTGCTTTCACTCAGGATTTTAATAAATTTTCAAATTATTCACTTTGTCTTTTCTTTCTTCTTCCAAAAGATTATGAAGTTAAATGAAATCTTGTCCTTCAATAATAATACTTAGATATAATACATCACTTTGGAGAGTTTAAAAAGTAATAAAACTCCTAATGGAAAATTTTAAAAATGTGAAAGATATATAGATCCTTCTATGAACCTTATGGCATGGAAAATTGGAAATTATCAGGTTCTTTGATAAGAATTTACCTTACAATTCAGTTAAACTTTGGAATTTGATTTTTTTTTCAAATGTTATGCCATATATTTGATTAATTTTGAGTTTTATTTAGTTCTGTATTGCTCTCCTGATAGTATCCATATAAGATGTTAATATTATTTGGACTATTGTCCTCATATTTATTACAATGTTTTGGCCATTGTATGCTCCAGCCTTCTTCAGTTGGTTGGAATATCAAACTGAACCCTTAATTTCGCTCACTGGGGTAGACTGTTCTAGTTGCACATGCCATGTTAGTTATCTCCTGTTAATACCCCTCTCCACAGTTGAGATACGAAGGAGAGCTCAGAACAATTGCCATGAAAATATAGAACAGACAAAGGAAAGCTACAGCACTGGTAATGTAACCAAAGTTGAGGTACCAGGTCAGTACCAATAACAAATGTTTCAGTTGTGTACCAATGTTGAATCTCTGAATTATCTTCCAGCCCATTCAGTGATATTGTCAGCCCATTTTTATCCATTTGCCTCAGGTAAGATTATTGGCTCTTATGACATGGCTATACCATTTCAAATTCTTCTTGATGATAATTATAAGGTCTTGCATTGTGCCGTTTGTGATATGGTCTATGTTGGAGATACCTAGAAATGAGATGCTACAGAACCATCCTAACATTTGTTTCTGCTGTTAATGTCCAAGATTGGTAGACATGGAGAAAGATCAATAAGACCAAACCAACGCATGCAAGTCTCATCTTTGATTTAAAACAGATGATTTTGTCCCCACCACCCCAGATCACTTGTGGTTTTGTGATTTGAAATTCTTTCTATTCTGAAGCCATTGTCATTAATAATCCAGCCAAGAATTGACTCACTACTTTAAGTTCCTGACTACAAACTTTTATCTTGGTTGAAAGCCCTTTCACAAGGTCATGAATTTTTTTTTGCTTGCCAATAATTTCCATTCCATATCAGGAGGATGTTTCATCCAGGTTCTTCACCAGACAGATGAGTTCCTCTTCTTTATCAATGCCATTAGCAAAGCAATCCATGAACCCTGGAATTAGCCATAATAAAAAGTAAAGGTTTGTGATGTTGCAACTACACCCTGGTGTTCCTCAAAAGCATCATATATATATATATATATATTATATATATATATATATATATATATATTTTTATTTTTTCATATGATGGACTCTCCCTTTGATTCCAACTTATGAGCATCCAAAAAGCTTGTTCAATTTCTATGTAATGCTTCAGTTCCACTAGTGACCTGCCTACAAGTCCACATATTGTGCAAGAACAAGAATCTCCGGACATAGCAACAAAAATATTGGCTAACACTTTTCACTGTAGTCTTTCGTATCTTAGTTGGTCAATAAGACAGTTATTTTTATCCAGGGCAACTCACTTGAAGTTAGTGTTAGACAAAGAACACCATTGGAAAATTTGTAAACTTAAAGAATCAGCAGATATGGTAGGCCACAAAAAAAAAATCTCCTGAGCCGACCAAGCATAGAAATGAATACAATATGAGAACCAGTAATAAGGAGTGCCAGAAAAAAGCAATAATAACAACAAAAATTGCAATATGAGCTCTTATAAAAATTGGTTGCTGAAGACATTAGGTTTATAATACTCAGAAATTCATACACATTATGTCCTCACAGTGGATAAAGGTGTTGATTAGATCCAAAGAGTGTGAGTTCAATACCTGGTTAAGGCAGTGGAAAGGGGTATTAACAGGAAATAACTGATATCCATTAGACATGGCACGTGGAACTAGAACAGTCTACCCCAGTGAGCGAAATAAAGGGTTCAGTTCGACATTCCAACCACCTGAAGAAGGCTGGAGCGTACAACGGCAGAAATGTTGTGATAAATATAGCAACAAAGATGATGAGGACAGTAGTCCGAATAATGTAAATAGTGTACATAATAAGGAGATAACAAACCACTAGGTGGTTCTGTCTGTCTTCTGTGAAAGGGGGGGGGGGGTATTAACTCCCTCTGAGGAGCATGGTAACTTGTTTCTTGTGATCCAGCCCTTGAACATCAAAGAAGACTTTCTTTAATGATTAATGACTACATCAGAAAATCTAATAATTTATTGATGGAGAATATTGCAAAGAGGCATCAGCTTCTACGTAGTAAAATGCCAATTTACATACTTCTGATGTGTTTAGATTTTTGCTATGGATAATGTAGTATTTGCTGCAATTGCAGCCCTACAGCAAGTTTTCAACAGTGATCTTCCTTTGTGCCTGTGTTCATTCCATCCACAGGATGCATGTGTGATGTCATCAAGCAGCAGTTTTCTTAGCATTTTATCCTGAGCTCTTCTTGGTGACTCTAAGAGTCAAATGCTTTACTGGTTTATATAAGTGACTCCCCTAGGCACCCCGTTTTGACATTGATGCATGTAAAAATTTCCACCTTCAGCTGGATTATCTAAAGTTCTATTGTACCAGAAAATATACATGGCACCAGCAAAACATTTCTCCAACTTTCAATAAGAATTACCTTATGGCTTAGCATTGTAGTATTAAGAATTTGTCCCTATTGGATCAGATTTTAGCTTAGAAACCTAAGCAAATATTTCTCATGAGAACGCTTTAATTACTTTCAACCAAATTCAGTTGTGGGTTCAACTCGCTCAGTAATTCCATTTTTTATATATTGTTTCATTTTCCTTAATTTAAGACAACTCACAAGTCTTTGCAATTTATTTCTAATCACAATTTTGCATTCTCATGCAACTAAATGTTGAACCAAAACCAGCACTGTTACATGCAGTGGTTTAAAAAAAAAAAAAAAAAAAAAATGAAGTATACAGGAGTAGAATTGACTTATGTCTGGGCAGAAGTCACACCACAGAAACAGCATAAATAGATGCTAGAAATTTCGAGTTAGGTTGGAGGAAAAATTTAGTGAAAACTGTGAAAAGAAAAGAAAGCAAACTCACTGCCTTGATATTTGACCAATTTTAACATTACTTTTCTATCTTGCTGCAGCACAACCATGAAATATAAACGAACTGAAAACCCTTGAAAGGTTGTGGTTCTCAAAAATCAACAGTTCAGTTGCTTTTGCAGCCCTCTCATCTAAGAACTCTGTGCTTGTCAATTGATAGTTCTTATTGGGGGTTTGAAGGGCCATAATTCCTGCAAATTTGTATGCAGCTATAGAGATATTCCAACCAAAGCCTGTGGATGTCCAATGTAGGTGGAGGAGTTGGCGACGAAGTGGCCACCACACAGCCTGGGGTTGTTGCACTATTATAACTGCCTTGTTAAAGTTTCTAATCAGGTGAGAATGTGGCGTTATATTAGTGTTTACATTTGCAGCAATCCTATTTACAGATTTCTTCTTTTTTTTTTTCTCTATCAAACAAATAACAATTTGATGCCAAAATTTTCCAAAAAAAACAAAAACAGCAGCAATGAGTGATTGGATAGCTCTATCCATTTATTGGTCTTTTTACAGATGCTGTTTGAATGGGCCCCAGAATGAGAGCCTATGAAACCAGAAACCTCCAGGTAGAGAAAAATAAGAGGTAGGGTTATGGTACAGAGCCAAGAACACTGAGGAAGTGGGGACTGGCTCAAGATGTAAAGATTTTATGAGATGAGGCAGGGTTTTTTTTTTTTTTTTTTTAAGTTAATTGGAATGAAGGAACAGAAGGCCCTGAGTAGAGTTAGTTTGGAATAAGGCCTACACTTTGGGGGGTAAATTTCTATGGCTAGTTTCATAAGCCATTTCTTTTATCTTTCATTAAAAAAAAAAAAAAAAATCAAGGAACATGGCCCACAGCAACTATAGTATCCCTCTTTCCAAACTTTTGAAAGGAGACAGGGATGCTGTGGACACTTATCCAGCTATTCAGAATTTCCAGGGGTGAGCAAACCATCATGATGTCAGAATAGAGAAAGTCCAAGATGAAGAGGATGACATCTTTGAATGGACCAACCTGGCTCTTCCAAATGCATAGATATTTTTGGGAATGCATGGACAATGGAAAGAAGGTGCACACACACATACACACACACCCACCCCCCCAACAGGAGAAGAAACATGAGAAAATGGGAATGCTATGGGGGAGGAGGATATCATGAGATGTAGCCCACAATTTTGTTTTTTGTGGTTTGGAAAAAAAAAAAACAAAAACAGTAGTGACCAGATTAGCACTGTACGGTAGGAAAAGAAACCTGTACTACATTGCTCTGACCAGATTTCAGGAGAGACTTGGTTAGAACCTGAAGTTTTTACATTTAAATTAGAAAATTTTGAATAAATAAATAAAATTAAAAACATAAATCAAGTCTCAAGTCAAGAGGTCAACATTTAAAAAGAAAAAGAAAAAAAAAAAAAAAAGGATGTGGGTGCGTGCTCAAGAGTGTGCAAGTTTCCCCCCCCAGACACACACAGTCAACTCGTCATATATCAAACAGCCAGAGGTTTACTAAGAGGTTTCAGAGTCATGATACTAATTTAACAGTAGTGACTCTAAAATGTCACCAGCATCTTTGCTGGTGAAAAAAAAAAAAAATTTTTTTTCTTCCATTTTCTTGCCTTTGTTATATTTATTAGTTTTTTGGGGGTTTTTCCCTAAAAAAAAAAAAAAAAATGATTTGCAGAAGCAAAACATTTCCTATTTTCACTTGGGTGCTAACTTTCCAACACGCAAGTGTAAAGTAGAAAGGCACGTCCTGTCTTGAATGTGACTGACTCCATTACAGCAGTAAAAGAGAATTTAAAAAAAAAAAAAACTGTAGTCTCAGTTCATAGGCAGAACTGACAGCTACTGATGTTTTGAGAGAAAGAAAGAGGAGAAGAAAAAAAAAAATCAAAGAGTGAGAAAGATTGAAAAAATTTTTTTTTTTTTTGTTGATCCCTTTCTTATTCCTGCTGCTTAGGACCCTCTTCAGAGGTGGCAAGAAATACCTCCTCTCTGTACACAACAAACATTGTCAGCAAAGACAATGGAGAGAATTTTGGAAACCCCCAACTCAAAAGTGATCAGGAGGTCAAACCACAGGGTCAATCAGTTCGGGTGTGGTCACTTGTCCCACAGATTAGACTCTTTCATTTTACTTTGAAAGAATTTCTCCAGGCTGTTGGCACATTTGTAGTAGTCTGTGTCGGGCTGGTTGTATGCACGGCAATTGGTGAAAATGCGATTCATATCGGCTATAAACAGGCGCTTATTGCAGTAATAACGATTCTTCAAGCGCTCACTCATCGTCTTCAGGTCTGAAAAGAAAACAAATACAGAAAAAATAAATAAGAGTAATAGTGGAGTACAGGGGTGGGGGTCCTTCGAGAAGAAACAGATATGCTTGGCATAGAAACAAATCAGTTTCTGGCTTCAAGATTTTAATTAATTAATATTCAAAGCAAAGAAAATGTGGCCATCTTTGTGCTTAAATGTTGAAGTTGCTCAATAAAATTGTAACAAGATCAGGTCTCAGAAAATCAGGTTAGCCGCCAATCAGTCACTCATGCCAAAGTCTTTAGCCGCCAATCAGTCACTCATGCCAAAGTCTTTAGCCGCCAATCAGTCACTCATGCCAAAGTCTTTAGCCGCCAATCAGTCACTCATGCCAAAGTCTTTAGTCAGCCAATCAGTCACTCATGCCAAAGTCTTTAGTCAGCCAATCAGTCACTCATGCCAAAGTCTTTAGCCGCCAATCAGTCACTCATGCCAAAGTCTTTAGCCCAATCAGTCACTCATGCCAAAGTCTTTAGCCGCCAATCAGTCCTCATGCCAAAGTCTTTAGCCGCCAATCAGTCACTCATGCCAAAGTCTTTAGCCGCCAATCAGTCACTCATGCCAAAGTCTTTAGCCGCCAATCAGTCACTCATGCCAAAGTCTTTAGTAGCCAATCAGTCACTCATGCCAAAGTCTTTAGCCGCCAATCAGTCACTCATGCCAAAGTCTTTAGCCGCCAATCAGTCACTCATGCCAAAGTCTTTAGCCGCCAATCAGTCACTCATGCCAAAGTCTTTAGCCGCCAATCAGTCACTCATGCCAAAGTCTTTAGCAGCCAATCAGTCCTCATGCCAAAGTCTTTAGCCGCCAATCAGTCACTCATGCCAAAGTCTTTAGCCGCTAATCAGTCACTCATGCCAAAGTCTTTAGCCGCCAATCAGTCACTCATGCCAAAGTCTTTAGCCGCCAATCAGTCACTCATGCCAAAGTCTTTAGCCGCCAATCAGTCACTCATGCCAAAGTCTTTAGCCGCCAATCAGTCACTCATGCCAAAGTCTTTAGCCGCCAATCAGTCACTCATGCCAAAGTCTTTAGCCAATCAATCAGTCACTCATGCCAAAGTCTTTAGCACCAATCAGTCCTCATGCCAAAGTCTTTAGCCGCCAATCAGTCACTCATGCCAAAGTCTTTAGCCGCCAATCAGTCACTCATGCCAAAGTCTTTAGCAGCAATCAGTCACTCATGCCAAAGTCTTTAGCACGCCAATCAGTCACTCATGCCAAAGTCTTTAGCCGCCAATCAGTCACTCATGCCAAAGTCTTTAGCCAATCAGTCACTCATGCCAAAGTCTTTAGCCGCCAATCAGTCACTCATGCCAAAGTCTTTAGTCGCCAATCAGTCCTCATGCCAAAGTCTTTAGCCGCCAATCAGTCACTCATGCCAAAGTCTTTAGCCGCCAATCAGTCACTCATGCCAAAGTTTCTACAAGAGAAACTTTGTAAACAGGTCAACTTAATGCAAAAAGAGATAACAAAATGAAAACAAATAAGATTTATTCAATACTGTTGTATTAACTTACACCAATCGAACACCTGTTCTAGAAACAAAGTAAAGTAAGTTGTTATAGAAGTTCTCTTAAATCTCTAAAATTTCTGTATAAACATTTTCAGCAACACATCTATTTTCTAAAGCTTTTTTTATCATTGTGCTAAGTCCAAATGAATTTCTTACTCTGGACATAAAGCTGACTATGAGAGAAACTTTTGAATAATTTCATAAATGTTTTTATTAATAATAATAAAAATTTTAAATTCATTGAACTTGTTATTTTTCACTCGTTTAAATAATTTGTTCCAGTTTTAGAAAAATCTAATTAAACGGACTTTGACAGAGATTGATGGAGTTGAGAGAGAGTGCTAGCTAAGTGAATTCTGGATGGCCAATAGATATGATAGAAATTTAAGTGGCAATGTGGAATTCGTAAAAAAAAAAAAAAAAAAAAAAAAAAAAAACAAATACGCAGCAAAAGGCCTCCTGTAAGCTGAAAAAGTAAAAGTTATCAATAAGGAAAGAACAAAAATCACACGCTGAGGTTGCAAATGCAAAGCTCTGTGATAAAAACAAGTTTCATAACCACTTACTATTATATTATCCAATTATAAAGTCATTCCATTATTTGGTTAAATCTGTGTCTCTTTATATCAGCCATGAGAGTGGGTAATGCTGTCAAGTTACATTAAGTGAGGATAAGGACTGTTGTAAAAAGCAGTATTTTTTTGCTGCTTAAAGACGAGAGAGAGAGAGAGAGAGGAAAAAAAAAATGAAAAGAAAAAACAACTCACCCATTGGGAAGCGAATATGATCAAGATAGTCTGGAGCTTCATTTTTATCAACTGGCTTTTGAAATGGCCACGCACTCTGATGATTCTGATGGAAGACAAAAAAAAAAAAAAATTATATTTGTACATACTTAAAAATAGAAAGCTCCAGATTTACAAAAAAAAAGTCTCACTTGAAGACAAGTATTTGCTAACATAACAGTCAATCTCAGAATGGCCAATCTAGTCTCATCCATTGTATGCAAAAATGAAAACAGCGATTCTTTCTCTGCATTGAATTTATTTACACATTCAAAAAAGTTTTATTGAATCAGATTTGCAGGTAGAAATCTAAGAAAGCAAGAATGAATGCAGATGAGAAGCTTCAGTCATCATGATTACATCACCTAAACTTGAATTTGCTTTGAAAAACTTATCAAATTTTAAACGATTAATTTAGATGTTAAAACAAAGCTTGAGTTAAATTTTTAAGTAGGTTCAACATGATGTTTTATTTACTCACTGAATTTATTATAAAAACTGCAATATGAAATTGTGCAAAAACCAGAAAATCACTTTTTACTTTAATTTCACTTTTTCAATAACAAGGTAAAAAAATTATCAACAATTGATCAACACCTATAATAGTACAAATAACATTACAGATTTGAAGCATTTACATCTTAATATAGTGACCCTTCTTAATAACTACCATCTATCTATTATCCATTGATTTTTGTTCATTTTTTTTTTTTTTACTTCAGCAGGTTCAATTTCTGACAAAAGTGTTTTTTTACTTGCTTCCTATAAGTTATATTGTTTGCCAACTTCATTTAATTTCATCATTGACCATAGATTTTTGATTGGATTCAGATCAGTATTTGATGGCCATTCCATTATCTTCTCTTCTCTAAATGTTTAACACTCAAAAAATTCAGGGATAAGAAGGAGCATTGTCATGCATAAATACACAATTCACTTTGAAACTGTGAGTCTGAGACTTGTACCATTCAAAGAAAGTCTTGTCCCTGAAATCATAATAGTACTGTTCAGTTTAACTGCTTCATCAACTTTGAATGGTCCAATAATGGTTTGATCAACAATTCCAACCTATATCACCACAATGCCGACTCCTTGTTGCTTTCTTTTAGCTACAGACATCTGCATCAGATAAAATCCATCCTTTGACGCATCAAGTGCCATCTAAGATTGGTCAATGAAAATTACTTTAGAAAAATCAATTTTCATGTATTTCTTGGTCCAATTTTGAAGCTTTAAAATATTTGCTTTACTGAGAGGAGTTTCCCTAGACTTCTTGACAGATCCCAATTCACAAAGTATTCTACAACTTTTGCTCTTTCCAGCCTATTAAAAGATCTGAATACTGGCCAAAAGTGGTTGTTTTCACTATAACTCTCTTTAGTTTAGATTCCCCTAAAGGAGACAAGTTCTTAAAACCTTTTCCTTTGCTTTTAGTTCTCAACTTAGTTACATTTTTAACAGCCCTCTCTATTGTTTAATCATCTCCATGAAGCTCTTTTGATATCTCTGATGTGAACCTTCCCTCACTTTGTTATTTTCTGTATGTTTGAAACTATGTCCCTAGAGGACTAACACTCCAACTCAAACACAGATGACCAGTATCTGTCACGTAACACGGTAAATTGGATGAAGTAAAAAAGTTATCAACATTTTTTTAAATTAAATAACATTTTAGATTTTATTAAATAACAAATTAAAAGGGAAAAAAAAAAAAAAGTCTAAAAAAAAATTTTTTTTATATAAAAATATTTTAAAAGATAAAAAAAAAAAAAAAAAAAAAAAGTCCCTAGTCTTACTCATCTAAAACAAATCCAGGTGTTCATCATAAGAAATTACAGACTGATGAGAGTACCCCCCCCCAGTCTCTATACAACAGCTAAACCATAAAGCCTTCTGGTTGCAGTCATTCAGATCTAACCATAGTCATTTTTCCTCAACCACTTGACATGTCATAATCTTTAGTTACAATCACTAATAGCATTAATAGTCATATTAAATTTCACTTTTTACGTTTAAATACATGGAATTGGCAGGTGCCACAATCTAAATGTTAAAGAAGCTGTAATAGTTCAAGTCTTGCTGAAAGCCAATTTGTTATTTCCAGTCTATGTTGCTAACAGCCATAGAATGGAAAATGTGATAATTGAAAATTGAGGAAAAAAAAAAGAAGAAAAAAAAAAAAAAAAGGTACTTGTTGAAAAATTAACTGACAATGCTTCAAGCTAAGAAATTTGAATACAATTCTAATACAACAAATGCAATAAAAGGGAAGTGAAATGAAGTTAAAACACAAATTCACAACTGACAAGAGTTTGTGATAAAAATGAGAAACACAGAAGAATCAGTCACTTCATCCAAAACAGGTCCAAGTGGCCGGAAATGTCATTCTACATTGAAACTTACCCACAGAACATGGAAAATACAAATTAGCATTATGTGCTAAGAGATTAAACCAATGCCTAACATGTAAGCATCCATTTCCCCCAAACAATTTTTTTGGGGGGAGGGGGGATACTTTCCTTTAATGTTTTAATACATACCTTAATCAGCATTAAAATGTTCTTGAGGGTTGAGTGCAGCTGTTCAGAGTCCATTTCTGTTTCTTTGCTGAAAAAAAAAAAAAAAAAAAAAAAAAATTGTATTTTCAATGAGGACATTTCAATGATTATTATTAAGAGAATGTAGATTAAATTTGTATGACATGTCTTTACCACCATAACAGCAAATAGGGGTGAATGTCTCGAGTAAAAACTAACCCCCAAAATTCATAGAAAGGAATTAACCAGTCTAAAACCAGATGTATACACAGTTTTTAAATGAATTCCAATTACAAAATCTGAGTTTAACATTTTTTTTTAAGCAAGCAAGGCAGGATGCCACTAATACACAAGGGGTTACAGAGAGGGAGCAAGATTAAAGAGGTGTGATGGACCAAAGGATGAAGAGCAGGACAGGGAATCTAGAGATGTCCATTGACATTACATTTGAATAATTGGAGATTATAGGTATCAGGGAAACAAGTAATAGGAAGGGAATTCCACAGATGGAAGATGCAAGACATGAAGCTGTTGGGGTAGAAGAGATGGCCACATTTAACCATTTCGACAGTGAAAGAGTGAAACCGTGATGCCAGCCGAGTAGCACGTCGGAGCAGTTACCGTGAAAGTATTTGTAGAAAAGACAGAGGGAGGCGATGACACGTCTGTGAGAGAGCAACTGTAGATGAGATGCCAGATCAGGACCAACCACATTGCATATCTGTCTCTGGATCTTGTTGAGAACCTTAAGGCGAACAGCAGGGCCACCAGACCATATATGGCAGCAGTATTCCATGCAAGAACGAATGGTTGATTTATAGATTTGAAGGATGGACTCGGATGAGAAAACTCTTTGACGTGACACAAGGAACTAACTTTTCTTGAGGTGGATGAAGCAATTGATTCAATGTAATTGTCCCATCTCAGGTCAGCGGACAGTGTGAGACCAAGCAGTTGCAAAGAGGTGCCCTCATGGAGTTGAGCATGAGACATTCTAATGGGTGGCAGGGATGGTTCCCTGTAGTGAGTAAGAAAGAGCAGTTTTGTTTTAGATTTGTGGCATTCTATTAGAATTCAAGTAAATTGGGCCCAACAAATTGAGATTTGACTATTTCACTTGCTTAGCAAAATATCGTAAACATTAAAATTCAATAGCAGGTGTATTGGCCAATGTCTAACATTGGGGAGATTTTCCCAGTTTAAAATGTTCACCTGGAGATAGCAGCATATTGAATACTTGTAGTTATCAAAACTGGGGGGGTTCTGAAGAAGAAAAAAAAAAAAAAACAGAAAAAATATTAGAGAAAGCTTGATTGCACTTAATTGAAATTGATTATGAGCAGATAGTTTGGCCCATTATCTGGTTCACACTCCTCTCCAGACTTTTAAACAGGACTAACAGTTTATCCATTGTTTCCTGTTTAAGATGAGGTTTCTGATTCCCTCTAAAGTATTTTCCTTCTACTCCCTTCTCTTTCACTTCTGATGGACCCTTGCATCTTGGTAGCCTTCTCACTTTGCTCAGGATGGTGCCTCTTACTTTATAACACTACCTTGAGTAGCTCTTGAGCCTTGTACAGGGTAAATATCACTGAACCTGAACATAAATCTGGAGATAGCTTAGTAAATTAGTGTAATTGGGTACAACTGCACCAGCTATACATTCCAAGCATGAGTCTTGAGATGTTACATGTCTGAGCCAACCATGTGTCACACAAAAATAAAGGTGACAAATTCCTGATATTGACCAAAGTCTTGAACTAATGAGGTGATTTCATAATAGTGATGATACTTACTGAGTGTTGTCTACTTTCCAGCCAGCCTCCAGCAGACCTGGAATACTTTCAATTGGAATTTGGCGCACGCCTTCCTTAAAACAGGCCACACCTGGATAGACTTTTTCTTGAAGTTCCTGTTTTTTTTCCAAGATTTTCTTGACAATCTGACAGAGAGAGAAATAAATTTCAAAACATCTCAATCAAGGGAGACACACACACAAAAAAAAAAAAAAAAAAATTTATTAAAACCAAGAAACAATATTGGTTGATTGATTCATTTTCTACAGTTTAATCAACTCTTTGCAGGTTTTTAAAAACCAGAAAACATTTAGATTTAGATTGTAATACAAATCTTACTAATTAACCCATAGGTGGAGAGGAAAAGAGAGAGTTATACTTTTGCAAGGCATTTGCATGTAAGTGAATAACAGGAATTACAACTCTGCTCTCCATTTCAGAGCCATTATCCATTACATCACATATCCAAGCTTACAGTACTTGGTATTCCCCAAGCAGACACCCATCTAGGTACTAACCAGGCTTGACATTGCTTAACATTGATAATTGTATAGGAACCAGTGTTTCAAAATGATGTGGCATAAACAAATAAACAATAATAATTACTGTATTTATGTCCAATGCAATCTCATGTATAATTCAATTCAGATTTAAGTTTGACATGTCATCATAAAAAGATTTTACAAGCTAAAGGAAACACCATGACTTGAGTTGAATGTCTTTAGCTGCTTAAAATCTTTAAAAAAATACATACATATCTCAGCATCATCTCAAGCAAGGCAGTAATGTCACTAAAGCACAAGAGTTACAGGGTGTGGAAGAATTAGGAACAGAAACATTAATAATGAGTAGATAGCAATTGACATTGCATTTAAATTTTTGCAGGTCAAGTTGGCTGGAAAGCATGGAACCAGAAGGGAGTTCCACATGTGAGAAAAGAAACTGTTAGCACAGAACTTATGGCTACATCTAGCCAGCTTAACTAAGTTGACGTGATCTTGACACCAGTCTCATGCTGCACCTAAATTAAAAAAGTTTAGGTACCCTAGTGAAGAGCTCATCCGAACAATTACTGTGAAAGTATTTATAGAAAAGACAGAGGCAACTTAGGGTGGTGAGAAAGTGATTGGAGCCAAGCTGCCAGATTGGGAGCAATAATATTGCTGATTCTTTTTTTTGATCTTATCAAGGAGCTCAAGATAAATAGCAGGAGCACCAAACCATATGGGACAGCAATATTCTAAGCATGGACAAATGGTAGACTCATAGATATTTAAGATAGATTCTGGAGAGAAAAATTATCTCACCAGACATAGTGAACTGACTTCCTTAGCAGCTGACCTAGCAACGGATTCAATATAGTCGTTCCAATACATATCAGCAAAGAACATGAACCCGAGAAGGCATGAGGAGTCACTTTCCTGGAGGTTAGTATCAGCCATGCTGATGGAAGGTAGCAAGGGGTCTCTCAGATGATTAAATGAGAGAAGTTTAGTTTTGGAGGTGTTAAAATTAACAAGCCATCTTTTCCTCCAGTTAACAATGGACTTGAGGTTGTTTTGGACATCAGCTGCCATTTTGATCTTGTTGAACTGACAAGCCTTACTATGGAGGCAGCAGTAAATTGTTGTGTCATCAGCATAGAAACTAAGTTGAGAGCTGATGTCATCAGGAAATTCATTAATGAAAATTAAAAATAAAGAAAGACCACGGAAGATTACGACATTCTTTTAACCCTATTCTCCTGTGGCATAAAATCAAACTTTTGTTCAAAAGTAATGAAAAAGGCATTAATTTGTTTTAGTTCTTGAAAAAGGTAATCCAAAACTGAAAATTTGATTTTACCATATAAGCAATGAAAGTTATAAAAAAAAAAAAAAAAATCTAAATATTTCAGAAGCTTTATTCTTCAATTTGCAAATGATGTAATTGGATATATTTTATTTTTATCCATAACTAGAAATTTCAGGTGGTTATAAAGTTTGTCAATGTCACAGCTGCACAATCAAATCAAAAAAAAAAAAAAAAAAAAAAAAAAAAAAGAGAGAGAAGCTAAACTAGTATTATATAATAAAATAATACAATAGTATTAATGATGATGGTGGCAAGTGGAAAACAGAGGAGGGGTGGATACCAAATATTGTAGAACATGCCATATAAGTATTATTTTATTATTTTTTTTTAACAAAAGTTCATTGAATTATGAAACAGGAAATCCATTCTAAGTAGCAGTGGCTTCATTAATACAATGAAGCAAAATTTAAACCTTATTTATATAGATGATGCAAAAGAAAACTCCAACCCTGGTTTTAAATCCTGATAAAGCGCGCACACAAAAATGAATATTAAGAGACTAAATGGATATAAATTTTTTTTTTTTTTTAAATAGCCCCTACCTCTTTCTGTTTGCGGATGATTTGAGAGAAGCAGGTATAGTGGATGCGTGGATTCAATTCACAGCCCATCAACGTGGCTCCTTCGTAATCTTTGATGTAACCCAGATAGGCAGACTTTGGCAATTTAATGTCCTTGGAGAATCCCTGCAAAAGAAGTTGCATGTCATGAGCAGAGTGAGGGAAAAAAAAAAATTTTAAAATAGAGAGAGAGAGAGAGAGAGAGACAGAGACAGACAATCTTGTATTTCAAATTTAAGTAACCAAAGCAAAAAGCAGATTCAACTGCAAATCAAATTTGTAATCTTTATTTCATTGCATCTTAAAGTGAATTTCTGAAGTTCAGTTTATGAAATTGGTTGCATACAAAATGCTGAGAAAATTAAAGACAAATAAGACAGAAAGTAAAGTCTTGTTTTTCAGACCAAAACCAAAAATTTTGAGTATTAAATCTACAAGTGGGAATTTTCCTTATTTTTTCAATCTTAAAACAATTGCGGCAAGAAACACACATATCCCATGAGCCTCTGTCGATCTTTGAAAAGCAGAATATAACACAAAAAGGATTGCCAGATTTTGCTACAAGCAGAAAATTAGGAAAAGTTCATCATCAGTTTGGGTGTGGTTGTAGGGTCAATTTGCAGCTGAACATCTGACCAGTTCCCTCACATATCTGGGTTGAAAGCAGGAGAGGTATTCATTCATGCATAGTGTGTCTTCAGCAAGTACACCTGGTGGAGCCTATCCCTCTCCATGTCAAACCACAGTCGATGTCCTACTTCAAGGCTTGCTTTGATTACAAACACATGGCTGTTTATTCTACTGGGGACCCACCCTCTTCAGTCTTGGAATCCCTCTGCCCAGCAATGCTGTGTCATCTTCACATTGACTGCATACATAGCTTTCAAACCAGTCTATCCCATTATGCTAGATGGCTGTTGGCCCGCTACAAAAAGGGGTTCATCCACCTCTTGATAGATCTTGTTCTTAATCCTGCTAGGTGTCTAGCCACCTTACTCACTAATAAACCCTGTAGGAGAACCGCTTTAGTTGCCATTAACCTGACAATGCAGCAGGTAATATCGAATTACATGGTACCATCAGCACTTGTAGAGTGACCTGGCAATGTGTGAGAAAGCTCAATGCAATGAAAGGCTGAACTTACTTTTTGTTTATATAGGGTGTGGCAGAAATACCTCCCACATAATGGTAAGAGACATTAGTAGCAATGGTTTCTTCATGTCTTACCATTATGTGGGAGATATTTCTGACACACCCTGTATTAAAAGTAGCCCAAATGGTCACAAAGAAATTCAAAAATTTACTGGGCTTTCAAAAGTAAACCCAATCTAGCAATCAAAAAATGGATTTGTTCTAAATTTCTTCATTTTTCACTGCCAATCCAACTAATCTTTATTTTTTTTTAAGAAGGATATTCTCAAGAAAAAAAGAGACTCACTTGTTTCTTAAAATAGCCAATGGCATATTCGTCTGCAAATGTCAAAAAATGGAGGATGTCATGCTGGATGTGATAATCCTTCAAGTGATTCATCATGTGTGTGCCATATCCCTGGGAAAAAAAATGAGGAAGAAAACAGAAATGATATTGATGCTTTCTAATTATTTTTTCTCTCTATACTTTAGGATAGGTACCTCCACTTTGTAACTGAAAAAAAAAAAAAAAAAAAAAAAAAAAACCAGCATAGCCTGATGAAAAAAGGCCCCAGACTGAATAAAAAACAAAGTTTTATCATAAAAATGTTTATTATTAAAAGGAAAGACCATAATATTTTATTATTATTATTTTGGCTAAATTTAATCCTTTCTAACAAGTTTGGTTAAAAATCTTGTTTTGTTTTTTATGATTTTTTAAAAATTTAAAGTAATTTTTACTTTTATTTAATTCCTATTTCACTACATATTTTTATTTTATGTATTTATTTTAGTGTGGGTCATATACCTCAATTAAGTAACCTGGAAATGAAACTCAGTTCTACTAAAAAAGTAATTTTACTTTAACTTACATTAAATTTTTCTTATTTGATTTTTATCTAAAGTTCTTATTTTTTAATATGCGTGTCATTTTGAAATTTTCTTTCAAATTATTTTTACTTTAACTCCTATTCCATAAAATGTTTTTTTTACTTTTTAAGTTTATTCTTTTCTGTGAAAGTTATTTTGATAAAAATGTAAAAAAAATATATAAATAAATATACAAGTAACTAAAATTCAATAAAATATGTAATTGCTGAAAATATTACGTTAACTTTAAAATTTACTTGATAGTTAAAAACCAAAAACAAACCATTCACTTAGATTTCGTAAATTTTTGTCAATTTCTGGTCAACCATACTTAGCCTTTCAACAACTTCAGCTCCCAATTAATAGATTAACACGTCAGAAAAACAAGACCCTGTGGTTAAAAAATGCTTGTATAATACGTTTTATTAAGTAATATTTGTTTCAAATCAGATTAATTTAACTTTAAATTTGTTAGTTTTTGTTAAATAATGGGTCACAAATAATGATTTCATTTTTGGAAGATTTTTATAACAGAATTAACTTTTGTTTACAAATCTATCAAAACAGACAATATTTATCGATTTTATAAAAGCGACCAAAATGCTGAGATCCAAATCAAATAATTTCTATTTGGAATACGACAGAATATTTTGCTTACTGGAAATAGTAAATTTAATCAACCATTTAGCTTTCAATTAAAGTTAAAAAGAAAGCTTCAAGAATGCCTTTTCATTTTAAAAAAAAATTCATTTTAAACCTTAGGTATCAAAAATTTAGTGGAGGTACCTACTTTAGGAGTATTCATCAGATTCATCATCAGAAAAAGCCTAAATCAAATTAAAGCAAAATTACCATATTCCATAGCATGTAAACCCATAAACCTGCTTTCTCAAGTCCAGTAACTGCTATCACTATTTCTAGTATTAATGACAGTTTCCTTCTTGATTTTGTTATCATCATTCAAGGCAACAAAGACATAACATCAAGTGATGTGGTTTCTCTTATTTGGTGCAGGTCTACACTTAGGATTCTCAATTGCCAGACCACAAAGTTTGAAGAAGGCCGGTCCTTGTCAAAACCTAGAGGTTTCATTTATTCAAAGACATTTTAACCATTGATCTGAGGAAGCGGTTGTATACAGCTGACAGTTTAGATATTTCTGAATGAGTTTAGCACCATGCACAACATTAATATGAAAGTTTTGATCAGACAAGTCTATTTTTAAGAGCATGACGAGAGTTTTTAGGTTTATGTTTTGGTTTTGTAACAATTTACAGAGTTGAGCAAAATTACTCTTAGTGCAGCCTAGTCTATGTTCAATTTCCTTACTTCCTTTACTAAAATTTTTTAACTGAGGTATTTGAAGTGTTTAATATTTACTAATTCCATATCCTGAATTTTTATGAAGGATTCAGAGTGCATGCCATTACTGCTTTCATTCCAATTCCAGATCAAAGTTTCTGTTTTGGAAAGGTTTATCTTGAGTCCTTCATAGAGGAAATTGATTTTTTTTGTTCAGGATTATTCTTATCCCAATTATGTATACCCATATCATCAGCATTAGGGTAGGTTGATTTTTGTCTTTTTTTAAAATATCAAAAAGAATAATGTACGGAAAGTTGTGTATAGACCAGTTAAGTACTGATACAAAAATTAGATTTGTCACTTCAACGGTTTTTTGAGCATTTGGCATCAAACATCGTAGACAAAAAAGCACTGAAAAATCCGATTTTGCAAAGATTTAGACTAAATATTGATAAAAAAAACAAACAATTTCACTATTTAAATCAGGGAATGTTGTTATTTTGTTTTAGCAAAATGAAATAAAATGTAGAAATTATAAATAAACTTCAAATTGAAAATTTGCCCCTCCCCTATCACTGATGATTTTGAAATGCTGTTTTTATCTTATGAATTAACCAGTATTAGTTGAATACATTAAAAAATTGATTTTTTTCTAGTTTGAATGAAAATACAACAAACAAATATGAAAAAATAAAGAATAGTTTAATAGGGCTTAATATATAGTCAAATAGCTCCATATAAGAACCCTCAGATGAAATTGATGGTCACAATTTCTGACACAAAGCTTTTGATATTATGTGCTGGTGTCTTGCTTCAAAGCCATACACAGATTGGGAAACTTCTGTTGTTAACTTGACTGCCCGTTCCACGCCTTGAGAATGTGAGGGCAAATCTGGTAAGTCAAGCTTCATACCATTTAATAATTATTCCCGAAGTTCATTTTTCAGAAAATTCTTCTGTGAGTGGTGGTTCACAAATTCCACTCAATGACAGATCTTTTAACTGTCTCCAGTGCATAGCTTTAAAATTGATAGTTGTGATTCTTTTTAATTTTTTCTTGGTTTGTTCCCCACTTTGAAAGAATATAAAAATTAATTTGATTTATTTTTAAAAAATTGCACTCTGTACTGCTTTAATATTTATGTTGAAATTAGATAAAATCCTTAAATGATTCCATAAATCAGTATAACTAATTTAGTCAATTTTATATGAATAAATATTTACTAACCTAATGGCCAAAATTCTTTTTATAGCTTCTTCCCTCACTTCCCATTCATCAGATTTGACCACTGAATATAAGATATTTTCAGGCAGTAAGGCTTAAAGCATTGTATTGTATATTTTTCAATGTGATCTGTTGGATTTCATATGGTTGCTTCCTAATCCTTTGGATCATATTGAAAATATACATTTGCTGATTGTGGAACTTGTTATTTCTTTTATTTTGGAACTGGCAAATGGCATACACATTCACAATAAAATTTATTAAACTGTGGAGTTTGGTTGAAATATTTCGTGGGTATGCACCATGAGTCCATAAGCACATCAGACTGATGCCTAAAGTTAACCACCTTGACTGGTTTAATGGACCAATTTTCCATGATGCAAATCTAAAGTCCACCTTCCCTCTACAAATACCCACTGTATATTCATAAAGGAGTCTTTGGTCACAACTAAGGGTACCTGCATTTTCAATTTTAAAAACAGAATTCAGAGGACTGCCAACAGCTGAAAATGATATTTGGGGTAAATTATGGTAATCATTTGCACGTAATCTTCCAAGTGGACCATTGAATGTGGCAGGGCTATTTTGTGGTACCATCTACATGTTTAAAAAGAGCTCTAAATGGAAGTTTATTTTGGTGCAAGGAGCAACCAATAGTATGAAGATTTGTTAAGTTTTCTTTCTAGAGGTGCAGCAAATCCACCTTCACAGCCTGAATTGGCATTAGTATTTGTCAACAAGGATAGCCTTGATAGTGCTCGCACGGTTGAATTCATGCAAAACATCACTTTTTTCACTTTAACCTTTGCTCTATCAATTTTACATTTATCTATATAAATATCTTTTTATATTAATATTGGGGGATAAGAAAGCCCATAGCCCTCAAATCCAAGAGCAATGCATTGGCATGGCTGGCTCTAAGATTAGAAGATACATCACTCCTGATGAACTCAACAGCATAACGCGGAATTTTGATAAGGCTAGCCGCTTATAGCCTTATTAAAATTTCACGGTATGCTTGGCTCTTTTTATTAAAATATCTGACCAAGAAACTATATGTATTATCAGAAATTATACAAAAATATTTTTCAAAATAAATTGGAAAATAAAGCTTGAAATGCATTATTAAATTAAAAAAGTAATGTTTATATGTTTATATAAAAGTAGAGTTAGTTCCGGGATTAGCTTGTAAACAGGCTTTTTAATAAAACATTAATTTTCAAAATATAAACAAATTACAATAATTATAAAAGTTGTATTTTTTTTTAAATAGTTAAGTATATTTTGATGAAAAATAAAATAGATATTTGCGCTAGTTAAAAGCGTAAACAAAAATAAAACGAACATACAAGACGAGGTAATTACTACCGGTAAATACCGAAAAAATATCCAGTAAAAACAACGCCGTTCATGAGTAGTTATTTGTATTTTAAACTAAATATTTTAGTGTGTTTTATTTTTTTATTTGTAGTAATTTCATTTAATTTAATAAGAGAATAGATAATAAACTCAAAAATATCCATTATTAAGCGTTATTTACTTTTTTTCTTTTCGTTAAGACTCAGTTTTAATTTAACATACACATGTCTCCGATGACACCGTTATGATAAAATTCGCGATTTATTTTGTCTTTAAGATCAATTGCTCAAATAAATACGAAGTTTTGAAGAAAAATATTTTGTGGTAATTTTTGACGTTATTTTGCAACTTTCCTAGAGTTATTCTTTTTATAGTTCCAAAATCGACCTACCCTAATCAGCATAACCCACCCCCATCATCATCAGTACATTGGGAAAGCAAGATTGTCATCTTCTAATTAGCGGATTCATTTTGGCTGTGGTATGAAATGCTTAAATGATCAGTACTTATCTCTTCACATATATGGTTGTAAATGTGCAGGGCATAGTCTAAAAAAATGATTAAATAGACTGGGACACTCATTTCTTCCTTGTACTTCTGATGAGGTTTGAAAGGAGTATGTATTGGGGTCCTCATTGGACATGTATGATTTTGTGAACCGACAGAGTTCCTCTAATAGATTGATGCAGTCAGTGAAGTCAGAGCATGAAAGACAGTTTCTAATGGATGAGAAGCACAAGTCTCTATTGATGTCATCACATGCTGCCGTGAAGTCAACATAGCAGGTATGCAATTGCCTATTAGAGAGGTATGCAATTTCCTTGTGGATATATGACATTACATTTAGCAGAATGAAAACTAAACTTAGTTGTAAAGTATTGACTTTCATAAAACAATGATAGCTTAGTTAATAGAATGTTCATTGGTACTTTCCCCGTAAGGGAACCAATTGAGATACCTCCATATGTGTGAAGATACTCACAGCTCTTTTTGTTTCTATAGTATTCAAATAAAAACAATAAATCTAAGAAAGTTTTCTTATAAATCTCAACTCGACGTGGGACAGCTTATACACAAACTGCAAGAATGTAATAGAAAAATTTCAATTAAAAATCTCTGAAAACACAAAGTGTAAGCAGAATGTTTGAAGCACAAAAATACATGTTGGTTTCAATCCCAGGAATGACTGCTAAAAACCACCACCACCTCCTCAAATTAATAGACAAATGCTACAGATGCATGCTGGTTTTTTTTTCCCTAAATCAATAAAAATGGACCACTTCTCAGTTTCATCCACCATATTTTTCTTTCTTGTCTTGAAGTCAGAATAATACGATCACTTGACTGTATCCCTTTTGCATGTGAACACCATTCTTTTTCTTTTTTAAAACTTTTTTGCTTTATTACTGTTGTTTTGCTTAGTTTTGATTTGCATACATAGATTGTTTGCTTAGTAGTATTTTGTGCTGTTCTTTTTTTTGTCATTGTTTATCGAGAACAATGTCAATTCCATTTGTTGAGCATTTTTGCCAATTACACTACAACACAGCTGCACTATAGACCTGTATAACCCAAGAATACATTCACAAAGATTGCCTGTCTGTAAATTGGCCCAGAAAAAAAAAGAAGAAAGTTGTAAAAATCTATACATTTGGTTGGTACATCATGTTGAAATTGACTGAAGTTTTGAATAAACAGCTTGCATCTATATATAATAAAGCAGAGGAGAAATGATATACAAATCTATATATCAGACTAATGTACTCCTGTAAGAGAGTAAGTAATTATCTGTGTGGTGATTTGGGGAGGGGGTATCTTTTCTTAATATATATATCTATGTCTGTCACTGTACTAAACAAGAAAAACAAAAGGAAAAGTATTACAAACACATCAACAGGTCAGACTAGGACAAGGTGAGACAACTAATTATTTTTTTTCAAAACTAGAACAGGTTGAAGTGTATGGAGCCTTGAACCCCAGCACCATGTTTCACTCCCTTCAGTCGGCATTAAAGACTGAGAAATGCTGCAGCATATTCACAAGAGAGAGAAACAAAAATCCATGCCACTGCAAGAAATGAAGACACTATTCCTAAATTGGGGTTTGCAATAATTTGACATTTTAGTCACTGGGCTTCCAAAGTCAGATCAAAATTCTCCCTGGAAGCAGGTAGGTGGTACATAGGTTCCTTCAACTTTTCTTATTTCTACTACACGATTGCTATCTACATGACTAGTTGGATAGATGCCTACTCTCCTTAAATGAAACTACTTATATAAAGCTAGAGAGAGAAACTTTTGACCTCTGACCAAGTGCCACTGGACCTCACATATTTTCATTTGTTTATTCATCATTTTCTTCCCTTTTAGTCAAATGGCTGACTGCTTTAAAAACCCCAGACCTCAAAGACTATCTTTGAGCCATCAAAACGCACAACAATTCAGAAGTGAAATAATTAAGACACATTCTTACAGCATGGTCATTTTTTTTTTATTTCACAAGTATAATTAATAAAATAGAAGAAAAAAAAATTCTTGTATCAGTTGACCTCTGTACATATGCATTTTTTTTTGTTTGTTTTTATTTAATTTTTTTAAATTCATTTCATCCAATGCAAGACAATAAAGCCACTAAGACAATGGGATTACTGGATGTGAAAGAATTAGAAAACGGAAGCAATATTGAGGAGTGAGAATAATAGAGTAACCAGGGAGAGGGTAGATAATGATTGACATTGCATTTAAATTTTTGAAGATTAACCTTGACTGGAAAGGAGTTTCACAAGTGAGAAGTGCAAGAAAAAAAAAAAAAAAAAAAAAAAAAAACTTAGCATAGAACTCAGTTACATCTAGCCAACTCAACTGTAAATTGATGAGACCTCGTTGCTAATCTAGTAACGTGATTAAATTCATAAAGTCTAGGTACCATAGCAAAGAGCTCATCTGAACAATTAGCATGAGAGTATTTATAGAAAAGGCACAGTGAATCGATTTTACAGCAGCGGGAAAGCAACCAAAACTTGGACAACATAATTATATCTAGGTACTTAAACCTGTAATGAAATGCTGTATACATGTGCGCATGTGTTCAGATACTTACCTTCACTTGCTCATTGGAGGTGACAGCACAAAACACAATCTCTGTGAACCCCTGCGTTGGAAACATTCGGAAGCAGATTCCTCCTATCACTCGGTTTTCTTTGATTAAGGCCAAACATTTGTGCTTGCTGCAGAAGAAAGAAGAATAACTTTTAGGTGATCAATATCTTAACAGATCATAACAGTGTATCAGCAAATCTGAACCCAATCCATACAAGAAGGTTAAGAAAAATGCTCCTATTTAACCACTTGAGAAAAACTGATATCTTCAGAGAAATTCCTTTGTCTTGGGTCTTCTTATTCTGGCAGTGAATTGGACAGAAATTCAAGATAACTCATGATAAAGGGAGCAAAATCGGCAACTGTCATGTAACATGGTCAATTATTCATCTTTTAATTTTATATTTTTACTATTGTTCACCCTAGGTAGAGAGCTGCATTTGAATGAGGCTGTTAACAGAATATCAAATCTTTATGGGTTTGTTTAATGCCAAAATTTAATTTTCTGGAGGGCTTTGAAGTAAATGATGTACGTTATTCTGCTTTCACAACTGGATACATGGTAGATGATACTCAGCTTTTGTGCATATGTTTATGTGGACATGATTACAAAAGGTGGTAATATGTGTTTTATGTCGTGGTTTTGTTTAAGTTATATTTTGGAATAAAGTTTGGAGAAAATGTAGGATATTATATGGCTTAATGTCATGAAAGTATTTTCATGTTGGTTGTTTGGTAGTATTTTAAATAGATTTGGGTGAAGTTGCTACAATTTTTTAGTAAGTGCGTATTGTTGGAAATTTATTTTTTTTTTTATATATGAAAATGTATTTCTGGTATTTTTACTGTAAAAATGTATTTTCATACTTTCACAATGTTTTGTTTTTGTAGGGGGGGCACTATTTGCCTGTAGCTGCAACCCTAACAGGTGCTACAACCCTGGGTCAAGGTGAACCTGGGAACAACAGCAATTAAGATGCAGTTCCACACTTCTCAAAACCTCAAATTTCAGATCAGACGCCTTGTTGTTGGATGTAGTTTTGAAAGTATATAACAGCTGACCTTAAACTTGAAGAGATTAAGATTGTCAGGATTGGGGAAGTATCCTCTGTTCCACAAAGTAGCGGTTCTCAGGAAGAAGCTGTCTGAATGGAACTTCCTCCTTACCAATGGAATATAAAAGAAATGAGGTTGTTTCAATCCTGTATATGTAACATGGTGGGCCTTAGCTATAAATAAGCTTAACTATATATAAACTTGGGGAATTAAAGCGTGTAACTCATCAAAACACTTTCCTTGAAAATAATGATGGAGCAGCAAGAGGCTTGCAATATTTTTTTTATGTGGGAAGAAAAAGTTTATTAGATAGAAAATAACTTACAACCCACAAGGCCTCATAGATGTTCTTGAGCTCTGTCAAGGCTGGAAAGGGAGGATTGGGCAGATTGGTTCTTTGTACCACCCCAGAAACATTTATTTTTTTAATGGATTGTATACACAAGAAGATTGATTGATTTGTTTGTTTAACAGCATATCAACTCCTTATGGGTCATTTAATGCCAAAATTTAATATCCTCGGGAGGTTTAAAGTCATAAAAATATATTATTCCGCTTTCAAAATTGAATACACGTTAGATGATACTCAGCTTTTGTGCATATACATGTTTGTTGGTTGATTGACTGATTTAATTTTGTTTAGCGGCATATCTACCTCTATGGGTTATTTAATGTCAAAATCTAAATATTTTGTACATCATTTAAAACTTTCAAGGTAAAAGATTTGTTTAAAAATATATAGTTTTTAGATTATAAAATGTATTGCTAGTAATTTCACTACAAAAATGTATTGTTGATAATTTTTTATAAAGAAATTTATTGTTGGTCATTTCACTGGAAAAAAATTATTGCTAGTCATTTTACTATTAAATGTATTGTTCATTTTTGATTGGGATTCACTATTTGCCAATAACTGGGACCATAACAGG